GACAAAATTCTCTTCCAGGTGTCTTTATCTATATCACTATCGATATCTCTCTGCCAAATCAGTCTTAGGTTTTCACAGTTACAGTATTGTCATCGATCCTTAAACAGAGTTGGTAAAATTTCAATGTTTTTTGGATAGGTCTTGGTAGTTCAAATAAATTTTCTAAAGCATTTTTATTTTGTTCCATGGGAACCTTTACCTTCAAGCAGTGTCTAATTTGTAAATATTTCCAGAAATGATCACGGCCTTCTAACTGAAATTTTTCTTTCAAATTACTAAAAGACAAAAGCGTATTATTACTAAATAAATCCTTTAGTGTACGTATTCCGCTTCTAAACCACTGTCCCCAAAACAAGGGCTTTCTACCAACTTTAATGTAAGGGTTATTCCATACTGAAGAATAATAAAGAAACACTTTTTAATCAGAGTATAGCATCAATTCAGTTAAACTTCTGGGATATTGATCTGGTCAGTTAAGTAGCAGAGGGGGTTGTTAACAGTGTTGCCAACTATTTTCAATGGAAAGTAGCTAAAGTCTGCTGGAAAAGTCGCCAAATGTCGCTAGATGACGTCATGCGTATATTTGCATATTGATGACGCAATTACGTCATATTTGCATTCTGCGTGTTTTCCCTAATCCTACCTCACGTGTCCAATATAAAACTATCAATTACGTTACATATTTTCTGTCAGACAACATTTATATTATACGTATATATGTTTTTTATGTGTATATGAGTTTAATAAGTTTAATGAAGTTTATCGTTGTGTATAAGTAAGTAGAATCACGTACAGTCAATCAGATGTAGCTCAGTAAACGATCTCAGACGAGTTCAGAAACTGGAATGAACTTAAGCTCTGTAACAGTGAGTTATATAAGTGCATCAGAAGAAAAAATAAACAAATAAGAAAAAATAAGAAGAAACGGTCAAATTAAATAGTTTTATTTCAAGCAAAGGAGAAGCAGGTAAGTGATTGGTCCGTGGTAACACCGTTTGCACATGCGCAGCTCATTCACATCTATGTCAGCTGCCGTGCGGTCACGGGAATATGCTGCTCCTTTCAGCCGGAGCTAGCGCTCACTGATCGGAGCAGACACAGGGAGATGAGTAGCTGTACCGGGAAAGCAAGACCTCGCGCTTACAGGACAGTACTGGCGACATTTGGAAAGTTGCTCAGGTTTGTCCAAAAGTCGCTAGATTTGTCGCTAGGCGCTTTTTTGAAAAAAAGTCGTCAAGGCCGGGGGTCTGAAAAGTCGCTAAATCTAGCGACAAAGTCGCTAAGTTGGCAACACTGGTTGTTAATCAGTTTCAGCTGCGTTGGTGTTAATGAAATTAACAACAGGTGCACTAGAGTGGCAACAATGAGACGACCCCCAATACATGAATGGTTTAACAGGTGGGGGCCACTGACATTTTTCCATCCTCATCTTTTCAGACTGTTTTTCACTAGTTTTCCATTTGGCTACGGTCAGTGTCACTACTGGTAGCATGAGGCGATACCTGGACCCTACAGAGGTTGCACAGGTAGTCCAACTCCTCCAGGATGGTGCATCAATACGTGCCATTGCCAGAAGGTTTGCTGTGTCTCCCATCACAGTACTCAAGGACATGGAGGATATTCCATGAGACAGGCAGTTACTCTAGGAGAGCTGGACAGGGCCATAGAAGGTCCTGCAGGACAGGTATCTGCTCCTTTGTGCAAGGAGGAACAGGATGAGCACTGCCAGAGCCCTACAAAATGACCTCCAGCAGGCCACTGGTGTGAATATCTCTGACCATACAATCAGAAACAGACTTCATGAGGGTGGCCTGAGGGCCCGACATCCTCTAGTGGGCCCTGTGCTCACTGCCCGGCACTGTGGAGATCGGCATTTGCCATAAAATACCAGAATTGGCAGGTCCACCACTGGTGCCCTGTGCTTTTCACAAATGAGAGCAGGTTCACCCTGAGCACAAGTGAGAGATATAAAAGGGTCTGGAGAATCCATGAAGAATGTTATGCTGCCTGTAACATTGTTCAGCATGACCGGTTTGGTGGGGGGTCAGTGATGGTCTGGGGAGGCATATCCATGGAGGGACACACAGACCCCTACAGGCTAGACAGCGGCACCTTCACTGCCATTAGGTATCGGGATGAAATCCTTGGACCCATTGTCAGACCCTATGCTGGTGCAGTGGGTCCTGGGTTCGTCCTGGTGCACGGCAATGCCTGGCCTCATGTGGCGAGAGTATGCAGGCAGATCCTGGAGGATGAAGGAATTGATACCATTGACTGGCCCCCACTCTTACCTGTCCTAAATCCAATAGAACCCATCTGGGACATTATGTTTCAGTCCATCCGACGCCACCAGGTTGCACCTCAGACTATCCAGGAGCTCAGTGATGCCCTGGTCCAGACCTGGGAGGAGATCCCCACAGTGTCTTTGAATTCAGTCCTCTGTAGGTTGATAATTTCCAGCTAACGATGTGGCATCCTTTCATTCCTAACACATTACTCAGTCCATATCAGTAAAGATATCGAATATGCTTTTTCCCCACTGAGATCTGATGTGTTTTCAAAGTGTTCCTTTAATTTTTTGAGCAGTGTATAAACAAATTAATCAATAGATGAGAAAATGCAACAACAGCCAAGTCTAGTGAAGGAGGATGTAAGAATGATACTAAACGTTTCATATTGGAATCATA